GAGAGAGAGAGAGAGAGAGAGAGAGAGAGAGAGAGAGAGAGGTTTTAAGGAATTGGCTCACATGATTGTGGAGACTTGATAAGTCTAAAAAGAAAAAAAATCTGATGGGGTAGACCAGCAGGCTGGAGACTCAGGAAAGAGTTCAGTTAAGCCCAAAAGCAATCTGCTGGCAGAGTTCCTTCTTGCTTTGGGAGAAGTCAGTCTTTTGCTCTTTTAATGCCTTCAACTGATTAGATGAGCCCATCAATTTTATGGAAAGCAATCTGCTTTACTCACAGTCTACTGATTTAAATGTTGCTCTTATCCAAAAAACACCTTGAAAGAAACATTCAGAACAATGTTTGACCTAAAGCTGGCACCCTGGCCCAGCCAATCGGACACATAAATAACCCTCACAGTGACTCCACACCAGAGTAGAAGGATCATGGCAGTGGGGATCTCGGGGAGGGTTAGCCTGCTCTTTCTCCACCCACCACAGGTCCAGGGATTTAGGAGAATGTGCTCATTGTGTTTGGGGGGTTAAGAATTTTTAAAAATTCATTGGGAAGTATTTCATATCCCATAGTATAACATTAGTAGTAGTCCTATTCCCTTACATTTGAATTTTAACTTTTCAAATGTTGAAGTGTTTTAGTAATAGTTATTGTAGTTTATCATGTGAAACCCTCAGTTTAATTCACTACCCCCAATTCCCTCATCTCCCACAAGAGGGTTCGAGAGAGCTTCATTTACTGCTCATAATTGCCATTTGTCAGCTGTGGGCACACAGCCTTGAGCAGGACTCCAGGTTACTGTGTTCTCACTCCCAGACTGAAAATAATGACTGTGGCCACCCCGTATTGTTCTAGGAAGCAAGAGATCCTCTCAGAGCCAGATCTGGACCAACCACAGCTGTGATACTAGCACTTGTCCATCTGGAATAATAAAGGATCCCCTCTCTATCTTGCTGCGCATTCCTTGTTTTCAGTATATTAGAAAAGTAGTGGTGTGAACCAGAAGTAAAACACAGCGAGTTCAGAGGATCTGGGCATTTTAGGGGTGACATGGGAACCTTTGTGACAAGATTTATTGTACTTGTTATGGTCTTATCATTGCTGACTCAACATTGCTTCCTGAAATGAGGGCTTAAAGGCTGGTGCAACCTGATGTTTGAAGGCATGGGAAAGTAAACGTGTTTTCTTAAATAGTCTAGCCACTGTGTTTACTTGGGCAGTGCTCTGTGCCTGGCTATAATGCACCTGATTTGGGATGTTTCCTGTGGGAATCAAGGAGAAACTCTAGTTCCTCTAGCTTCAGCAGTTTCACTAGCATGCCTCCAAGGACTGCAGCCTCTCAGCATAGCACCATGAGATGATCCCGCATCCAGCACGGGGCCTGGCACACCATAGACTCCCATAAACGGGTGTTGAATGAATAACTGAACTGAGGTTTTCTCTTATCTGTGGCTCTGAAGAGTCATTGTTTGATCCTCTGGAGCCTGGAGAATGTCTCACAATGAGTTTCCTCTCTGGGTAAGTGGTAGCTGGACTGAGGGTAGGAGTTCCTTGAGAATAATTGGAAGTACCTGAGCTTAATTAGCTTTAAGGTGAGGTGATGAACCTGTGCTTTCTTTTGTAGTGCCCGTGGGAAAGCTGGAGAGAGTGTTCTGGTTCATGGGGCTAGTGGAGGAGTAAGTATTTTTCTTTAAGTTTATTTTTAAATGAGCTTTTGTTTTTGGGTTGCACATCTAAGTCCATTTTAAAAACCAAATTTATAAATATAGTCAGGGGTGCTTTTTTCCTTTATGTGGTAACGCTTCTATAAGTTTTGTCTTCTGAAGGTGATTCCTTGTCATTAGTTTAGCATTTCTTGGTTAGTAAATTCACCAGATTACCCCATTGAAAATATATCTATTAGGTTTTTCACCTGTGTTGAGTGTGGACCAAGATAAACTGGCTTTGTTTTTGCCTTCAAGTGGCATATGCTATAAGAATGCTTAGTAGAATTGTAAACAGTTCTTTAAGATGAATACTAATTCCTTATTCCCTTAGATAAGGAACTAAGGCTCATTAAAGTTTTACATATGTTGCCCCAGACAGCACTGCAAAGCCACACTAAACTCTTTGTCCTTTCTGTCTCTCTTCGGCGGCCTGCCTGCTGTGCTTTGATGACATTCACCACGCAAAGTATACAGCTGTGTCCTTAACACCACAACCTGTGGCTTAAAATGCTAGTGGTGGTGCGGGAAATGGGGACTCAGAATGTATGAAATAAGCCCTTTAGTGAAGTCACCGAATGCAGGGCTGTCAGAAACCTCTTCAAGAAACCTGCTGTCAATCTGTCTTTGAGGAGCTTAGAGGAAAAGTTAGAGCTCTGAGGTCGGAACGGAACAAGAAATCCATACAACCTCTATCCTGCAAATAGAGGTTTAGAAATTTTAGAGACAGGATTTTGCAGTTTTAACAGAAAGGGATGCAGTGATGGTGAACCTTTTGAGCTCGTTGTGTCAGCATTTTGAAAAACCCTAACTTAACTCTGGTGCCATGTCACATATAGAAATTTTTTGATATTTGCAACCATAGTAAAACAAAGATTTATATTTTTGATATTTATTTTATATGTTTAAATGCCATTTAACAAAGAAAAATCAACCAAAAAAATGAGTTCGCGTGTCACCTCTGACACGCATGTCATAGGTTCGCCATCACTGGCTAGGGCTTGAAGGCTCACCTTGGGAAGCTGCTTAACCCTGTCAGAGCACTAGGTATTCTGCACAGCAGATTGAAAGAAATAACCTATTAAATGGTACATTGTCTCCAGAATAATGAGTGGCATCCTGAAAATGTGAATTTACCTTTGAAGGTGGCCAGGTAATGCAGATAATTCAGTCCATTGTGTCTCTGTTACTTTAGATAGATGAATTGCAAGGTTTCACACCCAGCATCCTGTGTGTACCTCAAATAGATCAATTCTGAAGGATTTCACAGATCAGACTGTTTGCTAAAAAACACCAAGATTCTCCTTATGGGGCTTGAGAAAACATGACAAATATATCTTGTCAAGAGCTCTCATTGGTTAGCTTCACCGAAGCGGCTATTTTGGGGTTAAATTAAATTCAACCCTAAATAATGAAAGGCTCTGTCAAACATACATTTATTTAAATCGCTTTGGCTTTCAGAGAGCGCACCTTGTACTCTGTAGAGAAGGAAGAAATTTTAATAGGAAGGGGAGAGAAAATCTCTTTTATTCCCTTTACCCTCTTGTAAAAAGCCCAGTCGCTTCACCATGATTTTTTTAAAGGCAAAATCCACGCTGTTCTCTGTGCTGGCTGAGTTTGTTCATCCTTGGCTGGCAGGGATCGGCCGGCGACCTGGTGTGTGAAGCGCTTCTGATCCCCCTGCCCTGTTAGAGGGAAGCAGCACAGGGCTTTTCTTGCTTCTGTTTGTACTTTCTGTCCTTGTTTAATTCTAATTCCTTTGGGATTATGTTGTGTATTTAAACTGATGTGGAACTTATGAGCACAGCTATTATCCAGATATTTTGGTGGGGAGTGCCCTATTATAATGTCAGCATAGTAAATAGAAGAAAAGTGTAGACACATAATGCTGTATAATCTACTGGGGGAGTATGGCTAGTATAATTGCTGACAAGAACAGAATAAGCAGTGCCTTTAAGATAGCAATTGAGTGCCCTTTAAAGTAGTTAGAGGCTAAGGAGAAACAGTTACATTAAATCCTAGGTTAAAATGTGGTTTTATTACAGGCCTTTTTTAACTGAAGTTTTTAATTGAAAATTAAAAACTTAAATAGTAAAAATTGATCATGCTAATAATCCCATAGTTCACTTCATGGAATTGAATGTCTGTCTCACTCAGACAGTGAGTTTCATATGTTTGTTTTGGTTCAATCAGACAAATTCCTGTCGTAACCCAACTGAGTTCAGGCTTATCATGCCTGCATGCCTGACAGGTCTATCTCAGGCCTGCGAGTCTGTGATGCTGTGACAACTTTTATTAGGTTCCATAATCATTTCACTTGTTTTCTATCATGCCCAATCCATAATGATTTTGCCTTCCTCTAAGCCAGTTTTTATCAATAAAGTGTGATGTTGCATCATCCCTCCCCTCCTTCAGGGACATTTGGCAGTGTCTGGGGACATTTTTGGTTGTTGTATCTGGGTAGAGGGTTCTGGCATCTGGTTGGTGGCAGACAGACATTATGCTAAACATCCTTCAATGCACAGGATAGCCCCACAGGGAAGAATTATGTGGCCCAAAATGTCAATAGTGCCAAGTTTGAGAAATGCTGCTGTAAATGTTTGTGACACTTATCTTTACCATTCATTTAGCATGTAATTAAACATATATGGCCTAGTATTGTAATTTGAATAATTGCTTATATCTGTATATGTTTATTTCTTCTTTATCCTAAGCACATTTTTTTTGTGGCGATCTAATGATTTCATCAAATCCTATGGCTTTAAATACCATTTGTAAACTGATACATCTCAGGTTTATTATTTCCAGCTCTAAACTCTTTTGAGTCCATACCCATATTGAGCTGATTACTGAATGTCACCAGTTAGGTGAGCAATTCAGAATGTTCAAAGTGAATTATTGATGCTTTCACAAACTTGATCCTCTCTAATCTTCCTTACTCCCTTAATCTACCCAGTTAATCTGGCCTAAGACCTAGGAGACATCCTTGATTTTTCTTCTTCCTCCATCCTACAATCTATGAGAAAGGCCCTTCAGGTTACCTCTAAATTGTATCTGAACTTGTTATTCTTTCCAGTGTGGCCACTTTAGTCCAAGCCAGCTTCACCTCTTATCTTGACCACTCTATCAGCTGCTAACTGGTCTTCCTACTCTTATTTCCCCGAAACCTTCTTTTTTCCTCTTACATAATTTGAGTGTTCTTTTTAAGGCCTAAATCGAATCACACCCAATTTAAGCTCTCTGGTAGCTCTGCATGGTTCTTTAATATAATCCCAACCTTCACCCCCAAGGCCGTGTGTGCCTCGGCCTCTTTGTGCCCCTCTGGCCTCTTCCACTCTCTCCCATGTGCCCCTCAGGCCACATTGTCTCTCTTTCTTTTGAGCACCCCACGCTCATTCCCACTCCACCAAGTTAGCCGTGACCATTCTGCCTGCAGCATTCTCCGCGTGGCTTCCCAGATCGTCACACGTGGCTTGTCCCTCACTTCATTCAGGCCTCATCTCTTCACAGCAGCTTTTCCTAACGACTGAACTGCCTCCTCTCCCTATCTCTTTCTAACCCAGTAGGCTGTTTTATTTTTTTCATACTTTTTATTTTCTGAATTTACGTTGTTCATGTATTTGTTTATGTGTTTATCATCTTCCCCCTTCTTTAGAATGTAAGTTTCTTGGGTCAAGTACCATGCCACGCACATAGTAAACGCTCAATAAGTGTTTATCATATAGATGAATAAATTAATTTGCCCATGTATCTGTCTCTTCCACTTAAATGGTAGAGGCCTAACATTTATTATAGAGTATTTTTATGTGTATAATTAAAGTATGAAGTCTGTGAACATATTTTGATCATCTCTAAACCCTGTACCTTTGCACAAAACTAAGTAAACATTTTGATGCATTGGTTAAAAACTCAAGCTTTGCATTCTGATTTGGTCCAGCTCTTGTTTCCATCTCTGTGACCTGGGCAAGTTACTTATATTTTATAATTTCAGTTTTCTTATCTATAGACTAGGGATAATAATCAATCTGTATCATAGGCTTCTTGTGAGGATGAAGCAGAGTGATACATATATATTTAGTGTGGAACCTGGCATTTCATAAATGCTCAATAAAAGCTACCTATTGTCCTTATTTCCTCATTTATACTTGAACTTCCTTAATAATAGAATAGGACTTAGAAGAACCTTGAGTTCATTATCTATACTTAACAAATGTTTGCAAGGATACAAAGAATCTAAAAATACTGGGTTAAGAAAACAAACTGATGGTTGCCAGATGGGAGGGGGTTGGGAGGCTGGACAAAAAAAGCTAAAGGGATTAAGAAGTACAAATTGGTATTTACAAAATAGTCTTGTGGATGTAAAGTATAGGAAATACAGTCAATAATACAGTATATTGTAATAACTATGTATGGTGCCACGTGCGTACTAGACTTATTGGAGGATCACTTCATAAATTGTCATGTATGTCTCACCATTAGGCTGTACACCTGAAACCAATATAAAATAATACTGATGTCAGCTGTAATTGACAAATAAAAAATGTGCACCCTCCCCCTAAAAAAATAAATAAAACTATTGCGTTGTATTTTGTTTTTCAGGTAGGACTAGCAGCATGCCAAATTGCTCGAGCTTATGGCTTAAAGGTTTTGGGCACAGCTGGTACTGAGGAAGGAAAAAACATCGTTTTGCAAAATGGAGCCCATGAAGTGTTTAATCACAGAGAGGTTAATTATATTGATAAAATTAAGGTAAAATTGTTCTACAGTTTTATAAAAGTAAAATTTTGTTTCTTGAGAGACACATTTTTATAAGTTCTTTTTAACCACTCTCTTAAAGTTGTTTGCCTCTTTTTTCAAATGCCTGTATGTTTTTTTGCCTGCGTGTTTTAATGTTTTCATTTAAAAAGCAGAGATGTCTAATTTTTAAACTTTCACTCTTATTTCTGTCTTGTTTATGTTTGCCAAATAAAATTTTGCCTCTCAAGTCTTCCAGCTATCAAAATTTAATGCCAGTCACAGTTTAAGTAAATCCATAGCTCTATATTTGCATCTGTTAGGTGTTATTAATTTCTGTTAGTATAAATTTTTCATGGAAGGTGAAGTATCCTAAGATTACAAACTGGGTCTGTCTAGCCTAGGGAAGAACATTTATTTGTTAACCGGATGCTTTGGACTCCAAAATTTGGAGGACTAATCACTACTTCCTCCAAAGCAGTGAGGTAGCATTTAGTGAGTTGTTGCATATGTTCTGTGGCTACAATAGAATTCAAGAAGATTCTGAAGTTCTCCATTTGTGCTCTAGTAGCAATTTACTAAACACTGATTACTTTGCTAACCCTCAAACTACTTGCTCATATTGAGAAAGAATTAGAGTTTTCTAGTTACTGATTACTATGTAAACTAGGTCATTACAAACTAAGGAAAGGATGAGTGCGAGTTTATTACCACTAAATCAACTTGCCACAAAACTGAGTAAAGGCACTCCTTTGTTATATGTCTAGGAAACCTACAATTAATGGAGTATTCACTCCTGGTATCAATTTCCAAGAGTATTTACAAAGTTGAAAAACAGCCAGTTATTTTAAGAAGATATTTTTGTTTTGCAGTAATCTAATTTTAGGACCATGAGGACTTGTAGCTTATATCATTCAAAACACATTTCTGTAATACACGGGACAATTATAACTTTCTTATAGATTTTTTTTACTTGCTTTCTTAACTTATTTTGCATTCTTTTATATTATATAGACATCTGTTGGCGAAAAAGGAATTGATATTATTCTTGAAATGTTAGCTAATGTAAATCTTAGTAATGATTTGAATCTTCTATCATATGGAGGACGAGTAATAGTAAGTGTTTCTCTTTTTTTACCACTTTGAAGTTTTATCATAATTTAACACTATGTTGCAGTAATCTTTAACTGTAGCATGTTGTTTTTCATAATAGATTGTTGGCAGCAGAGGTCCTATTGAAATAAACCCCCGGGACACCATGGCAAAGGAAACTAGTATAATTGGAGTTGCTCTGTATTCATCAACCAAGGTAGGAAAAGAAGTCATTGTGATTTTGGTAACTTAAGTTTGCCTAATCAGGCAGGCTGAAAGTGTAAGTAGATGTTAAACTTAGTTATTTGACTATATGTGTGCATTAAGGCTTAGTCACCAGAAGATAACGAGGGTGACAATATCATTTATTTTCCAAGTCAGGACACTTTTTTTAAAAATATATTTTATTGAATTTTTATAGAGAAGAAGGGAGAGGGATAGAGAGTTAGAAACATCGATGATGAGAGAGAAACATCGAATCAGCTGCCTCCTGCACACTCCCTACAAGGTATGTGCCCACAACCAAGGTACATGCCCTTTTACCGGAATTGAACTTGGGACCTTTCAGTCCGCAGGCCGACGCTCTATCACTGAGCCAAACTGGTTAGGGCAAGTCAGGACACTTATGAGAGAAAAAGAAGATACTATTCGTAATCACTTAAGAACAGTAAGTACTTTGTAATCTGATACTGTCTCAAACAAATATAGAAGACTCTTTTTCTGTAATTCTGGATAAGTTGACAAAAGCCACACATTTGTAAGAAACTATGCTTTTTTAGATTCTGAAAATATTTAATGCTTCTGAAAATCAACTCATACGTTCCTCTACAAAAAAAAAAAAATCAAAAACCTTTTTCTTTCACTTTAGGAAGAATTTCGGCAATTTGCAGCAGCTCTTCAAGCTGGAATGGAAGTTGGTTGGTTGAAACCTGTAATAGGTCCTCAGTATCCATTGGAGAAGGCGGTCCAGGCTCATGAAAACATCATCCATAGTAGTGGGGCTACTGGAAAAATGATTCTTCTTGTGTCATAATTAATTCCTTCATGTATTTCCTATGTAATTAGAGGTCTCTTATCCCAGTTTTACTTACACTATCTCTGCTTTAATTGGCATTCATTTAATTCAGTGAGTTTCTTATATTAAAAAACAAGATTTGTCTTTAGAGATCCTGGGCAGTGGAGCACAGTTTATGTTGTAGCTGACAATATTCTTTATGCTGTAATCAAGCAGTCATAGTAGGAAGTAGAATGTTGTGGTCATTGACATTGGGGTGCATTGTAGATATTCCTGTTACCTGATCATTAGTTTCATACCTTTGATTAAAATGTGCTAATTGGAAATAAGACTGCTTGATTTCCAAGCCTACTTCTCCTTAGAAAGTTTCTTTCATCTCTGATTAGCCCAGACCTGTATTGGACTCTGCAGATTTTTGGGACTAAACAAGACCCCTTGTCCAAGCTAATCTTATCTGGATCTACAAGCTGCTTGGAAGGGCCAGATAAACAATATTTGTTAAATTTCTAATATTTACCAAAATACTAGAACATTCACTATGCTCATGGTTGATTACCAGTGGTCTGTACATTCTGGGACAGCAGCCTTTTTTTGGTGTAATATGATCCTAGGTGCATAGTCTCCAGATAGATACTTCTTGACTGACCTGCTTTCAAATTAGATTTAGAATTATATATTTGTGTGATGGGGGTCATATTTTTAAAAAATAAATAAATAAATTTGACACATTAAGAATGATCTGCTTTTGTTTTCATAACATGGTAACCTGCAATGATTCTGTGGGAAATTAAAAACTGTGTATATTTTACTAGCCTTACTTCACTTTTACATAGCTCCTAATGGTCCCGTTCTAACAGTGTTCTGTGTTGGAAGTCTTCATCTAAACTAAAGAAGTGATTGCTTAGAAATCTTGCCATCCACATTATGTCCAAGGAAATGAGGTTTGATTGCTAATTCTGTCTTGTTTTTTCTTCCTGTGAACACAGCCTCTTATCTGTTGTAGCATTATGTGGTTGGTCCTCTTGACCTGATTTATTCTGTTGAATGACAGTCATGTTTCTAGTCTGAACATGGAATTCTGCTTTAATAGTAAACAGAAAGCCCTGCTAACTTCTATAATTGAAGGCTGTCATTGGCTTCTGGCTGTATGTGCCATGGCTGAAGTGTTTTGCTATTAGCATTTTTCAAGTTCATTCACTATTTCTTTTATAAATTAGCACCCTGTGAAATAACATGTTTGAAAAAGTGTTAAAAAGCCAATGTTGCCCTGGCAGGGTGGCTCAGTTGATTGTAGTATTCCCATACACCAAAATGTTTCAGGTTCAATTCTAGTCAGGGCACATACCTAGATTGCAGGTTCAATTCCCGGTCTGGGCATGTATGGGAGATAATCCATTAATATCTCTCTCTCTCTCTCTCTCTCTCTCTCTCTCTCTCTCTCTCTCTCCTCCTCCTCCTCCTCCTCCTCCTCCTCCTCCTCCTCATCCTCCTCCCTCCCTCCCTTCCCCTCCCTCTCCTCTTCTCTCTCCAAAATCAATTAAAACAAAAACATATCCTTAGTAAGGAGTAAAAACAAAACAATATCATGATTCTAGAAACTAGTGTGTTATATACATCCTAAAATGAAAGATTCCTTCCCATACAAAAAGATGAAGGAGTCATTATTCTGTAAAAGTGAGAATCTTTTTGGTGCCCCAGTTGGAGGGCCTGGCTCTCAGCTCCTTTCGGCCCTTCTTTGGGACCCTCCCTGGCCCAGTCTCCCCCTTCCCTGCCAGGCCAAAGCTATGATGGCTACAGCCCTGTGGGCAGCTTAGAAAGCAAGGACCCACAGGCACCTGGAAACTCGCCTACAACCCTGTGGATCCTCTGGACTATAAGGATCAGAGTGCCCGACAGTTTCAGATCTTGAAGTGACTCTTCTCCATCTTCCTCTGTCTCTTTTCTAAATCTGCCTTTTACAGAATAATTACCCCTCATCTATAGAATGAGCTGAAGCACACTGCTCACTTCACACTTCACAATCCTTTGATACACTTCAGTTACTAGCCAAACTCTCTGTATTATCTACCACATTCATGACTTTGTAGCATTGGACATGTTACCTGTATGAATCACCTTGTAGTTCTAGTTCTATTCTAGTCCCAGTTTTCAGCCAACATATTTACTGTACTGTTGGTGCCTGCAGCCTCAGGGACTAGTGCTGTCCCTGATGCAAAGTGGAGAATAACCTGTAGAATCTATAAGGATTATGTCATGTCTCAACCATCTGAATTTCTGTTCCTATTTGCTTTGACCTTAGAATAATATAATGTGTTAGAGATGAATAGATCAGTCACCCTGAGCTTAAGAAGGTGAAAGGACATGCTAAAAGTCACATGACTAGTACATTCAAACTCAGCCAACATTGTTTAGTAGGCTTTTGATATAAAAACCTGAATTTAGCCCTAACCTGTTTGGCTCAGTGGATAGAGCATCGGCCTGTGGACTGAAAGGTCCCAGGTTCGATTCCGGTCAAGGGCATGTACCTTGGTTGCGGGCACATCCCCATTAGGAGGTGTGCAGGAGGCAGTTTATCGATGTTTCTCTCTCATCAATGTTTCTAACTCTCTATCCCTCTCCCTTCCTCTCTGTAAAAAATCAATAAAATATATTTTAAAAAATAAAAATAAAAACCTGAATTGAAATTTCCAGGCCATTGGCTTTCCTGACTTGCTGTAACTCAGGGGATTGCCTGCGTTTGAGTTTCATTTTGCCTGAGATTCCTAGTTTCTGATCATATTATAGTTATGCTGGCCTCCTTTGTCACTTATCTCTTGATTTGACTTTTATGAAGGGATTATTCTGTTCATCCATTAGTTCAAAATATTTATTGAGTTCGAGTGAGAAGGCACATTGCTAGAATTTGCAGATACAAAGATATATAAGACATAGTCTACATCCTTGAGCTTACAGTTGTGTAGGGGCAAGAGCCAAGCAAAACATTTTTTTGGAGTATTGCATACACACATTACACATATATGCAATTTTAAAAAAAAGATTTAAAAAAAATTTTTCTTATGCAGTTATGGGTGCTGACAAGTCTAAATCTATAGGACAGGCCAACAGGGTTTCTATGTTTCAGTTTTAAGGCAGAATTCTTTCTCTGGGAAAACTCATTTTTCGTTCTTAAGACTATTGACTGATTGAATGAGACCCACCTTCATTATTGAGGGTTATCTACTTAAAAGCAACTGATGACTTTGTAAACATAAAACTAACCATCAAGGGGTGACCTGGGGACACAGATGTGGGACATTTAGTGTAGCTGGGATTTCCAATTACACATTTAGTATCTTTGATGCATTAGTTAGCTCCCTCTATCCATAGTAGCTTTGGCCATAGAACTACAAAATAACTTGGATGCTCCTGAAAAATAAAAACCCAATCAGGTAGCATTTTATAAAATCCTCTGGTCAGCTTTATCGAGGCAAGACATTCTGTGTGTGTCAAGGGGTTTCCACAATTTACAGTGTAAAGAGCTTTTTTTCCATTCAAGACAATTCTCAAGAACAGCAAAACCTATCAGGTCACCTTGGCCTGGCTCTCTGTGTCCTCAACCACATCTTACAGAAAACATCCCGCTCCGTCTTTGATTCTCTCTCCAGTAGTGCTGCTTTACAGCATAGTGATTTTCTAAAATGTCATTTGAAAATTGTCAGGAGACAATTTTACTAATCCATAGGGCTTTAGGGATAGCTCATATTGTGGTAACTTACTGCATTTAAGGAAAGAGTATAGGAAATTTTATATCATCGAAAGAAATCTAGAGTCACTTTGGTCTATGTCAGTGACCACTGACACAGGTATCGGTGGGGACACTCCATGTACTTTAAGAGTGATTCTAAGCCAATTATGTGATACAGCTGCTCATTAAAGTGTGTTAAATGTGGCCACAGATGAGCAGTCCTTCATTTATCCTTACGCACCAAGACTGCAACTGTACAAGAAACTAAAGAGGAAACCCTTTGCCAAAACCCATTGGGAATTTACACTAAGTCCTGTGTCAATCATTTGGTACATTGACCCAAATTAGCTGCAAGGTAGGTAGGAAAAAAAGCCTCAACTCAGCCACTGCTTCTTACTCAGGACCCAGGGGCTGCACTGCCTAGAAAATCAAACCCCTTCTTGCTGAGAAATATTTGAGCTAGCTGGGGATTTATGTATCCCTCAGCTTCTTGCTTTCCTTTGCATTTTATGGACTACAGGCTTCAATTTATGGCACAACTGAAGATTCAGGAGGCAGAGGCACTTTGTACCCTTGGGCGTCCAGTCACACAGAGAAAGCCTTGCAAATGGGTGGAGAGGGAAGGGCCCCTGAATTGCAGTGAATGCTGGAGACGGTACGACACTCGTACAAAGAACATTTGCCTGACTCCTGTAAAGCAGGAGATGCTCACACCTTAGTCCAGCAGGCACTAGGAGGGACATAAAGTGCTTATGAGGCCACCTCACTCCAGGTATAGATTTTATAGGAATTGAGCTCCCTTGTACACAGGGAGGCGGGCCAAGGGAATATGCAACCCTGTGTTGGAGTTGCTGAGAGCATGGGTTGTAGAGGTAGACGGCCTGGCTTTAAATCCTGGCTCTACTACTGACCAGCTGTGGAGTCCTGGGCAAATTACCTATTCATCTGGAGTCTCAATGTCCTCACATGTAACATGGGAGTAATTTCTACCTGGAGTGTAAGAAGTAAACGAGATAATGTCTCTGAAATACTCTGTCTTGCACGAAGTGTTTAGAAAAAAGTTCTTTTATTTATATGAGCCGTGAGATAAAGGGGAGGAATGAAAAGGGAGTATCCTGAAATACGCGAAAAATAAAAGGGAACCCAAATGCAGATTCCCATAGAATGTACGAATCAGCATAATTGACATTATGGAAGACATCATTGGTCATATGGGTAATTTGATCACTTGCCAAAAATATGGAGAAAAGAGATGAGAAAAAAATAGAGCAAATGAAAAAAAGAAAATGCAACCTTTGAAGTGTAAATGTGCCTCCTCAAAACCCAGAAAAATAAAAGCAGTAATAATTAAAACTTTCCGGACTGCACCAAAATAACTAAGTTTATTCATTGACAGTATTTATTACGTCTATGCAAAATTAATGAAAATTAGTAATAATGCATATCTTAAATTTTTAAAATTTTACATAATTAGATATTAGAAGGGAGCATGCAGAAGAATAGTTATTTGTAGTTATGTTATTCAAAACCTAGAGAATATAAGAGAACAAATGGAAAAACTATTAATGAATTAAGAATGGTGGCTAATTGCATAATAAATATATAAAAATTAATATAGGAGAAGAAAAAATGGCGACCAGCAGGAAGGTAGGGAGGGAGAGAGTGTGAGAGCGCAAGGAAGTGATAGAGGAGTGTGTGGACGTGTGTGGTGTGTGTGTATGAGCTAGGGACAGCTAGATTCTGCAGGTCTTCTAAGGGGCTGCTAAACCGGGCAGTCTTAGGCGGCGGAGTCCAGCTCCCGGCGCGGACACTCCTAGGCGGCCAGCCCAGGCACAGCGACCACGCCATCTTGGGAAACAGAGCTGCTTGAGACTAGGATCCTGGCCTCAGCACCACCCAGTCTGATCTCAGACGCATACCAGGACCCTGCAGCCACTGGGGACAGAGACCTGCGACCACAGCTACAGACCTGCGGACACCAAAAGTTCGGAGATCCCCGCGGCAGATCCGTG